CATTGGGAGTTCCTCCTGCAATCATGAGAAAAGGTTTGGAGGATCTTTAGAATTGAGATGATGATGCTTATATGGGCCCATGATTTGTGGGGCCGAGGTTCAGTTTATAAAATAATGGGTTTATGCCATGGTATATGCTAAACTTTGGTTTGGGTTGAACACTAGTTTGGGCTTGTTTGCTTTTTGGAATTTAATTACCGATTATTTCAAACATATATTAACATAAAAAATGTTATGAGCTCAAATACGTATGATTTTGAAGAAAGTTGTGTGCTTGGCTTTTTGCTCTGGTGCGAAGTTGCTTAAAGGTGTTAAAATAGTTTGGTTAGAAGGTTGAGCAAGGTGTAAAGATGTGTATATTTATGTTATGTAGAGTTTTAGCTTATAAATAAACTATCTCAACTTGCTTTTCAAAAAACTAATTTATAAATTACGATAATATATTTTTATGGTCTTATCAAAACTAGATTATAATAAACTTAGAAAATAAATTAAATTACACATGTCAAAAAGAGCCTTAGTATTGATACTATTATGTATGGTCTGTCAACACTTTACCACCCATTTCTTTTTTAATTTATAAATACTTAATGTATTAAATATGATTATAAAGGTATACTGTTATTGTTGTTATAGCTTAATTTATTCTATTCACTAGGACAATTTAAGATGCTCTAAGCACTTAATTGACTTTAGGCGTAGTTGATTTATTTGATTTGGCCAACCTTTTGAGTTTTGACATCATGCCTAATTGCCTATAGTTTTATTTAATTGGACCTTGATTACTTTAATCTTGAAACTTAATAAGTTAAATAGTTTCTTATTATACAATTACATATTTTATGACAAATAATAATAAGATAATGGAAATAGGAATTTCCTAATAAATAAATAAACAATAACCTAACATTTAGCTATATACCTCAAATAATATTAAATCTGTCAATTGTTAACTGAAATAGGCAATCCCTACTAAATATGGCAATTGAAACTAAAATTTGCAATTCCTAAATCCTAATAAGTAATAATCTAATATCAACTCAAAATTCTAAAAATAAACATGCTCCATAAATAGAAAATAAAATTTTTATTTTTTTGGTTAATAAACGTCCTCCCTAAATATCTCACGATTTCAAAACTAATCAAGCCGCTCTAATCATCATAAACCAAGGTTCTAAAAAATTTGTCATGATGTGCCATGGTTCTAGAGTTTGTATTTGACAGTACGTTTTAATAAAATATCATCTTAAGTTATATATTTATATAAAAATAAATAATAGTGGAATATATATATATATATATATATATATATATATATATATATATATATATATATATATATATATATAATTATATACAAAATTGTCGGCTTAGATCACCTCTTAATAATGACGTTTCTCACCATAAGGTCCACCATTCATAAAAGTTTGGAGTTTGATATTGCCGCCAAGTCACGCCTAACGTTTTTTAGAAATAAAGACACTGAAACGATGAAGAGAAAGGGGGTATAAGGAGAGAGGGTATTTTAGACATTCCATTTGGTCCTGTTAGTACTTAATGCTGTTAACCCAAGAGACTTGGTCACAAAGGTGGATCTGGAGGTCAAGTAATGTGTACAGTTGATTATTAACCGTGTAAATTAATTAAAAACTAAAAAAATAGAATACCATTAAAACCTTTAACTAAATGTCATTTTACAATTGAAATCTACAATGCCATATAACTAAAAAACGGTTCGTAATATTTTCTACAAGGACACATAACTAAATGTCATTTTACAATTAAAATTTACAAAGACACATCACTTGCTCACTAGAAATGGTTTTATAGAACATTTTGATTAGATTAGTTTGATAAATCAATGCCTATTTAACTTACGTTTACAATTAGTCATATAACTTATCCATTTGCTTTATGCATAAAAAACACTACTTAACCATTTCTTCTTTTTATACATATCTATGGAACCATCAAGATATTATCATAAATTTAAATTAATAATAATAAAAAATCAACAAACAAACAATTAATCATTCATCAAAGCAATAAAAAAAGTCATTAAAATCTTCGCCTAATTATTATTTTATCCAAAAAATAACACCAAGTAACTAATAACCTTTTTCAATTAATAAAAAAACATATAAGTCCATGGGTATGAGGGTGTTTATGGGCGTAAACATCTACGTGGATGGGATGTTCACGCGTGAACACCGCCCCAATGGGTGTAGTTGTGACGTAGAGTAACTAGCTTCATGGATGTTTACAAAATTTTTGATTGGTTAGCTCCAAATAGAATGCATTTTCATTGGCCGTTCACTAGTTGTTTACTAGTGAACACCATTTCCAACCAAAATTGAATGTATTGTGAAAATGGATTGATGATGATGTGGAGTGATGTTCACTCGTGAACATACCCCATTTATCATTCTTCATTTTCCCATTATCATTCTTCATTTTTCCCCAATTTCTTCCCCAATTTCTCTCCAATCTTATCCCATTTATTCCCCCATTTTGGGGGAAATGAATAGTATAACACCAAAGGTGTTATACTATTTATTTCCCCCAAAATGGGGATAAACTTTGAGTTGTCGGTTTTAGTTCTTCATTTTATATATTTACATATTTGTGGTTTTTTATCTACTAATTGTTATTTAAATGTAATATTTAATACTTATAATACTATGTTATATATTAAATTATATTAATTAATTATAAATATAAAGTTTGTTTTTTGTTTTTCAAATTCATATTAAAATTTAAATACATATTGAAAATTTAAAACACAATAACGTATTTTACAAAAGCTTATAATTATGTATTATAAATATAATCTTATTTACTTAATATTATTGTAATGAAAAAAATATAGATTATATATTTGTTGAAACCAAATTAATAGATGGGGTGTGCTTGACAATTTATATAAATTATAAGAATGAAATATACTTTTTGGGGGTAAAAATGGAGTAGGGTTGAAGATGAAACACTATTTACACTATTTTTTACTCCATTTTTTAAGGGAAAAATGAGAGTATGTTTGAGATGGTCTAAGGAGTTTTATTGTATCGATTCCAACAAACAAATGCAAGTTGTAGTTTCCAATGATTTAGCCTGTTCTTTTTCCAGCAAGCTCTTATCTAGGAGAAAGCTAAGTTAAACTTTTGGGAAGTGAAGAGGGTGGGGTCATTTGAGGGTGTTTTTTATTTTTTGGAAAAGTAGAAGAAAGAAAGAGTTACAAGATATGCGATAAAAAAGAAATCTGAATTTTCAATGAGACTGATGGTGGCGATGTATCCAAATAGGGCCATACATCCCACTCAACATACATTGCCTCCGCTACTTGTCGGTTATAAGGACCGGTGACGATACAAATTCCACGATTAGGGAACATTCATGCAAGAAAAATTTCATAAGAAACGTTTGAAGAAACATTTTAAAACCACAAGGACCAATGTTGAAATTTAGTTAAAAGATTATTTAGAGATTCTAGATTTCGAAATGACAATGCAAAAATGGTCACTGTGTTTGTCAAAATTATGTAGTTTTGGTTCAAAAAGTTTAGTGGTGTAACAATGGTCCAATTTTAGATATCTTGTGTGGTTTTGGTCCCTATGGTTGTCATTTTTTTTATGGTTTGATCCATACCCTATATGAAATGATGAATATGCCTCTAACTGATTTTTTTTAATAATTTCATTTGATTATATTCCTTTAATTTCAATTTTAATAATACCAAAAAAGAAAACTCACTCACCCACCCCTCACAAATCATACCGTACCCCACCTCCTTATTCCACATAATCTATCTCTTTCTCTTCCAAAATTAAGAAAACACAAACACACACACACATACAAATACACTCAAAACGTATACACACACTCAAATTATCCCACACTTCCTTCTTCTCCTTCGATCAATGCAAATGTTAATTAAAAGAAATATAGACGAGGAACACTTTATATGAAGATCAAAAATCGGTCCCATCTTCTTCCATTTTTTCTCGACTTGTAGATTTCCTAGGGAAATAGCAACAAGTTTGCGATGGTGATCTATCGCCCTTTTTCTACTTCTCTTCTGAATTGAGCCTTTCTTCCACATACCTTACCACCTTATTTCCCCTATCAACCACAATTAGTCTATCCTACCATCTCCATCCTATTTGTTCATCACCACCCTGCCACGCTTGTTCATCAACGTTGCCGATGCTTGTTTATCATAAGGCACACACAATTTCGAAAATCGATATCAAGTGTCTCTAGTTGTAGGTTTAGACTCAATACACACACACACACACAATATCGACACTTGCTAACCCTAACAAAACTCACCTGAAAATTAGAAACAAAATCATTAGCAGTAAGCATCAAGCATTTTGTATTCCAAAAAGAAATAATCGACCCACATTGTTTACAATTCATGGTAATCGAGAATCAAAGGCACAAACCATAAATGTCTTGTCTCATCTGCAAGTTTCAACAAAATTGCTATTGTTGCAGGTTGGTATTCTCCATTTAGTAATGTTTTAAACTCAGCTGAGCTTTACAATTACAAATCAAGACATGAAGAAGCCGAAATAGCTTGAATAGACGAAGGGAAATGTGTTATGAGTGTTTATGGATTCAAACTTTTACATAAATTCTAGAAACTAGGGTTTGGACTGTTATTCTAGGGATGTTTCCGCTAGTGTGGGGTTAAGAGGTGTTTGGTGAACAGGAGAAGGAGAGGTGTGGGGTTGGTGGGCCCTCTTTTATTTTCAATTAGCTAAAACCATTAATATAAATATAAAAAATGAAAAATATAGTTATAAGGGCATAATCATTTTTTTAAATATATAAAAACAAAAATCACTAAGAAATCTAAAATTGGACCTGATATATCACTAAATATTTTTGAACAAAAATCACAATATTTTTAGAAAAAAATCACAAAATTATACCATTTTTGCAAATTTTTTTATCCATATAATCCAACGGTCTGTGATGCAGTATTAACAGAGCAGCACCGTAACGATAGCATTCTAAGTGATTTTATCCTCGTTTTACACCGGGTGGAATTGCGTGTCGAAATAATCAAATATGCGAGATAGTTTGGAGAAGAAGATATAGACCCACCTCCTGTTATCATCCACATTTCTTCAATCCGGCGGATCTCCAGCAGCCGATTATCAGAATCTTCGCTTCCAAACGAAACACGAATTTCTCCTATCTCGTTCAAGTGATTTTGGTACATAATCTAAATCTTAATTGTTTTATTTATTTATTTATTTATTTTATTTTGTGTTTGGCATATCTATCTGTATATGCTCAGTACTATTTTAGGGTTTCGATTACAATTTATATCAATTATGGCGATGATGTACTTGGCTTTGTTGAATGGATTTGGATTTCTGTGTTTTTGAAGCTGTGTGAATGAACTGATTGGTGTTATTCGAAGAAGTTTGTGATTGATAATTTCGTCATTTCAGTGCCGAATCCGAACTTTTAGCATGTAAACTTGTTGGTTATGTTGATTAGCTATTAAAGGTTTTTGTATGAAAGATGCTGTTCAGTGCTTGTGTTGATGGGCTGTTTTTGTTCAGAGTATTTTGCTATTAATTCAGAGGGAAAAATTGATTATTTCTGGATCATGTTGTTAGTTTTCTTATGCGTTGAGACTGTTCACAACTTTGCTGTGGTCTGTTAGTTTAGGCAATTGTGATAAGGTGTAGCTGTATTAAACAGTTTAGCTTCCCAAAGAAAATATGCTTATATACCTAGATTGCTTCTGCACATACTGGGGACAATTTGGTTTCTTATTTTAATTGATTTTTGCAATTGCTACTTAATAAAGCATTCTAACCTCTACATACTAGCATTATCAAATACTCATTTTAGAAGGAAATTTATTCCCATAATTGGAAGCCTGTAGTGTAGTGTAGTTTTATCTCAAATGTTTCACCTAACTGAGTTATTAAGCCACTGAATGCTTGTTTGAACTTGGTTCCCCGTGATAAATCTTAATCTCTTGACTTTCCAACTGAATTTCATGCTTATTTATATAAATGTTTTGAGTCTTTTAACCTCATGTACCAATCATCAGGCTTAATAGTGTTGAAATCATGGCGGGGGCTGTGGTGCAATCTACCAGCTTTCCTTCAGTTTCCAGTGAAAACAAGATCCATTCAAAGAGATCTGGAAATGCAAAAAGACGAGTCAAAATGATGTGTAGCTTACAATCTCCTCCAATGAGGGTGAGGACTTTCTCTGGTTTACATGGAGTCAATGCATTAGACAACATGGTCAACAGAAGCCATGATTTCCACTCAAAGGTAGCAGTAGCCACCTCTGTTAGGAGAGGAAAAGGAAAGGCTTCAAGAATCATGCCAAAGGCCATGTTTGAACGCTTTACAGAAAAAGCTATCAAAGTTATTATGCTTGCACAAGAGGAGGCAAGACGCCTTGGTCATAATTTTGTGGGCACAGAGCAGATTTTGTTAGGTCTTATTGGTGAGGGCACTGGTATAGCAGCAAAGGTTTTGAAATCAATGGGAATTAATTTAAAAGATGCACGTGCTGAAGTAGAAAAAATTATTGGTAGAGGTAGTGGATTTGTTGCTGTTGAGATTCCATTTACACCTCGTGCAAAGCGTGTTCTTGAACTATCACTAGAGGAAGCCCGACAACTAGGTAATAATCATAATAATAATAAAAAAAAACAATATGCATGAATGTTGAAACTTGAAATGTTAATAATGTTAATTCGTCCTCCATGGATTCTTTTAGGTCATAATTATATTGGTTCAGAGCACTTGCTTCTTGGTTTGCTTCGTGAAGGTGAAGGTGTAGCAGCTCGTGTTCTTGAGAATTTAGGTGCTGACCCAAATAACATTCGCACACAGGTAAGTGTGGTTCGCTTTATTTTTCATTTGCCAAAAATACCCTTGTCTTTATTTATACTTGTTGAATAGGTGATTAGAATGGTTGGGGAGAGTGCAGAAGCTGTTGGTGCTGGAGTTGGTGGTGGGAGCTCTGGAAACAAGATGCCAACTCTAGAGGAATATGGTACCAATTTGACAAAGCTAGCAGAAGAGGTAACTAATGATTTAACTATTCACTGATTTTTTTTTTTTTTTTTAATTAATTATTTCTTCCAATTTGTAGGGTAAGTTGGATCCTGTTGTTGGAAGGCAGCCACAAATTGAAAGAGTTACTCAAATTCTGGGAAGACGTACAAAAAACAATCCCTGCCTCATTGGAGAACCTGGTGTTGGAAAGACTGCTATTGCAGAAGGTCTTGCCCAAAGAATTGCAAATGGGGATGTTCCAGAAACAATCGAGGGGAAGAAGGTGGGTTGCAAGTTCAAATTTTCATTTTTATGTTATTATTTTTTTTTTCCTAATTAAAAGGTTAATTTGTGTTGGTATATTTTTCAGGTGATTACTCTAGACATGGGTCTACTTGTTGCTGGGACAAAGTATCGCGGAGAGTTTGAGGAGAGATTGAAGAAGCTGATGGAAGAAATCAAACAAAGTGATGAAATTATTCTATTTATCGATGAGGTCCATACTTTAATTGGAGCAGGAGCTGCAGAGGGGGCTATTGATGCTGCTAACATCTTGAAGCCAGCTCTTGCTAGAGGTGAATTGCAGGCAAGTGAAATCTAATGCAAGGGTTATCGACATTTAATTTTTTTTTTTTTTTTTTAATTTATTTCTGATATCTTTAATCTGAAACTTGCAGTGTATTGGTGCTACAACCCTTGATGAATACCGAAAACACATTGAGAAGGACCCTGCATTAGAGAGACGATTCCAGCCTGTAAAGGTGCCTGAGCCAACAGTCGATGAGACAATACAGATTTTAAAGGGGCTCCGAGAACGATATGAGATCCACCACAAGCTCCGATACACTGATGAAGCGTTAGTAGCTGCTGCCCACTTGTCATATCAGTACATAAGGTACTCCAATCTATTTGCATATTGTCATATGTTATATAACTTCATTAAAAAGATAATCTCTTATGCTTTTGTTTTCATGTATCCATAGCGACCGCTTTCTTCCCGATAAAGCTATCGATTTAATCGATGAAGCCGGTTCACGTGTCCGACTTCGTCATGCGCAAGTACGTCTTTTTCCTTGTATATAATTATTTTTATCATCTTTGACCCCATGGATCGATAATCAATGATCTATCTTTTTTTTTTTTTTTAATAAGCTTCCAGAAGAAGCCAGAGAGCTGGAGAAAGAACTTAGACAAATAACAAAAGAGAAAAACGAAGCAGTCCGTGGTCAAGACTTCGAAAAGGCTGGCGAGTTACGCGATCGAGAAATGGACCTTAAGACACAGATATCCGCTCTTGTGGATAAAAACAAAGAGATGAGCAAGGCGGAGACCGAGGCGGGAGAGGAGGGCCCCACCGTAACCGAAGCAGACATCCAACACATTGTCTCGTCATGGACCGGGATCCCGGTCGAGAAAGTCTCGACCGACGAATCCGACCGTCTCCTCAAAATGGAAGAGACGCTTCACACACGAATCATCGGTCAAGACGAAGCGGTCAAAGCCATTAGCCGCGCCATCCGCCGTGCCCGTGTCGGTCTAAAAAACCCCAACCGCCCCATCGCGAGTTTCATCTTCTCGGGTCCCACCGGTGTCGGGAAATCCGAACTCGCGAAAGCGTTAGCCGCGTACTACTTCGGCTCAGAAGAAGCCATGATTCGCCTCGACATGAGTGAGTTCATGGAACGCCACACCGTCTCAAAGCTCATCGGCTCCCCTCCCGGTTACGTCGGCTACACGGAAGGCGGTCAGCTGACCGAAGCGGTCCGCCGCCGCCCCTACACCGTTGTCCTGTTTGACGAAATCGAAAAAGCTCATCCCGACGTCTTCAACATGATGCTTCAAATCCTTGAAGACGGAAGGTTGACCGATAGTAAAGGAAGAACGGTTGACTTTAAGAACACGCTTCTAATCATGACATCAAACGTCGGAAGCAGTGTGATCGAGAAAGGTGGGCGGAGGATCGGGTTTGACCTTGACTATGACGAAAAGGACAGCAGTTACAACAGAATTAAGAGTTTAGTCACGGAGGAACTAAAACAGTATTTCCGGCCGGAATTCTTGAACAGATTAGACGAAATGATCGTGTTCAGGCAGTTGACTAAACTCGAGGTCAAAGAGATTGCTGATATAATGTTGAAGGAAGTTTTCGAGAGGTTGAAGGGTAAAGACATTGAACTTCAAGTGACTGAGAGGTTTAGGGATCGGGTTGTGGAGGAAGGGTATAATCCTAGCTATGGTGCGAGACCGCTGAGACGCGCAATCATGAGGCTTCTAGAAGACAGCATGGCGGAAAAGATGCTTGCCCGTGATATCAAGGAGGGCGATTCCGTAATTGTTGATGTTGATTCTGACGGTAATGTTACTGTTCTTAACGGTAGCAGTGGAGCTCCACCGGAGGCATCGCCTGAGCCAATCTCGGTGTGAAAGTACAACGCTGGCCATCTTTAAGCATAAATCATATATGTTGTTGGAACTCTGATGTTTATAATTTCTTAGTTTTTATTAGTTATAATGTAACGTTGTAATTTATTTTAGGATGTGCTATGTAAAAATTGCAAAACACTAGAATTTTTGATACCGAATAATCTTAACTTAATAATCAGTTATGATTTATAAAGACAAAACTTCATAAATGGTCCCTGTGGTATTCCGAAATATAAAGTTTCGTCTCTAATTCTAAAAAACCTTACTGATGGTCCCTATGGTTTCAAAACTTCTGATGTTTGGTTCTTATGCCTAACTTCGTTAGCTTTCTACCGTTAAAAGAAAAGATATATATATATATATATATATATATATATATATATATATATATATATATATATATATATATATAGTATTAGGTTATATGAATGTTTATGATTTAAGAGTATATAATATTACAATGGAATAACATATATTATATAATTACACAAAATCCATTGTAAAAATATTTTAGTTAATCAAACAACATTTAAGAAAAAAGAAAATTTCGAATTTTAAGGAATAAATGATACTCTTAATTTTAAAATTTTGATATTTTTTTTAAATTAAGTCAAGTGCAAATATAAAGTAGTTTTTAATTACAACGATTTTATTTTGTCTGAATTTCATTCTATTAGAATGTTATTTTATGAGAATTTGTGCCATAATTAAACTAATAAAGAGTCTTAAAATCATGAAAGCTTAAGAACCAATATCATACCATTATTTAATCATTCTTCAAGAATGAGCCAAATAACATAACATTTGAATGGTAAAAATGATATTAAAAGATTTTCTTGAAGTATCTTTTTACACTTTTATGATAATGAACTTAAAATACAATTAGAAACTAAATTGCATCAAAATTCATTAAAAATCTAAAAGAAATCAAAATACTAAAGAAATAAGAATGTATTCTAATATAATAGACTTCAACTTTTACAAGAATCAAGAATGTACTTGATATTCTACCCAAATCCAAAATTCACTTAATCTTCTTTCCGAATCTAAAATGCACTTGAGAGAATTCATTTTTGCAAGCTCACTTGATTCCATCCATAAAAAAGTATACATCATCCGATCTTCTTTAAGAATCCTAAATAAGTGAATCAATATGCTTGTAATTAGATAATTAGAACTAAAGAATTCATTTGTATACATAAAAATGAATATTATTGCTAAGAATCACTTTATATATTTTGACAGAATACATTCTGCTAAAATACACTCTTGTTCTCCGTGTTTTCTTCCTTTCTCACATCAATGGCAGATTCTTCAAACCTAAACGCACAAAGAAAACATAATCAACTTTTAAATATTGAAATTTGAAATGCGTTCTAAAATAATAAACTATAATTCTGATAGTATGTTGTAAACATTAAAGAATTATGATTCATTTTAGTAGAATGTAATCTGCGAATCACTTTATCAGAAAATAAATTGTATGAAGAATAATTAACTTGTTCAACTTTTCCGGAAAAGTGTTAACTTGTTTAAATCTTCCTTGCTGTTGGATTTCATAATTTTTAATAATTAAAAGCGTGCTAAATCTATACCTGTAACACTGTAAAATTTTCATTTTTAAATCACATAAAAGACAATATCACATTTCTCAAAGCCACAAATGTATCAGTTGTCAAAACACAAGGCAACAAAATGTTTGATAATATCCCAGAATCCTCAAAACATAATCTCTAGTAGGTGTGTACAATCAAGCCGACACCTTCCCGTGATCCTGCGAGATACCTGAAACACATATGTAACACGCATAATCAGAAAGACCAAGAAAGGAAAAGAAAACCCTAGGTTAAAGGGGTCAACTCGTCGAGTCCAGGGTGTAACTCGACAAGTCCGAGCGAGATCCGGGTCGAAGAATAAGTGACCGACTCGACGAGTCCGGTCTGGATTGGGAAGCCCTAAGTTCGGGACTTGGTGCCTTATATAAACATCTCATTCTCTCCCTTAGGTTTCTCTATAGCCTCTCTTATCCAGAACACGAAACCCTAAGCCTCCATTTTAGCACATTCAAGCTTTCTCGCCATTTGGGTGATTTGAAGGAAGAAGGAGGAAGGGAACCTTTTGTGGTTCAAGGATTGGCTTTAGATCCAGAGTTGGAGTGGCTTTTCATATCCTTTGAGGTAATAAGCTAACCTTATTGCATTTAGATCTATCTTATGGTTGAGATTTGGGCATTTTGAGTATGGAGGAGGTTTATTCTAAGTTTGGAGTAGATCTGAGGTTGCTACCTCAGATCTAGGCTATTAAGGATCCAGAAAGCCATAAAGTTTATGCCAATAAGTTGTTGGTGAAGCCCCTTGGTCACAAAACCTAGCCTTAGAGTGTTTTAAGCCCATATCTCTTTGGTTTCACGTAAAGTTTGCAACTTTAAAGGATCTATGAGTTGGAGCCCCTGCATGGCTCGAAAAACCACTGTATGGATTAAGAACTGAAGCGACTCGGCGAGTCACATGGGTGAACTCGGCGAGTTGGATGAAGATGGGCATGGACTCGACGCGTTGGAAGAACAACTCAGCGAGTCTGTTGAAGATTGTCATGGACTCAACGAGTCAGGTCGCGAAGCACTAACCCCTTCTGGTTAAGACTTAGATCGGTGAGTTGAGTGGAGATCCAGTGAGTTGGGCAGGATGGGACTCAGAGATCGTTGAACTTGACGAGTCTTGGAGTGACTCGGCGAGTTGAGTCATTTTATGGGAGTTTCTGAATGCATGGACTCTACGAGTCTTGGGGCGACTCGGCGAGTAGAGTTAGTCAAGAAGGTTGACTTTGACCAGGAATTTGAATTTGGCAAGAGTGGACTTAGACTGCTTCTAAGAGTCCAGTTTGGGACTAAGTGTTATATGATATTGATATTGGTAGCTTGGGGAGCTAGTAGAGTAATGGTTCAGAGAATTGTCGATCAACAGTCAGAGGGTTATCAGCAAGTTCAACAGTGCAGGTGAGTTTCCCTTTGTGTGAATGGGTATATGGACACAATGCCGACCCATGTAGTTATGAGTAGGAAGACCCGGGGGTTAGCCCTAGGCACTGTTTGCTAGTATGATATCCCGGACCAAGGTCCGATGTCGGGTGGGTGCCCAAGGAATGATTTGCATGATAGAGTATACTTGTTGTCTGTGTGATACATGTATGTGCCTGGTAGGAAAGTGAGTGTGGGCGAGGTCCCGTATCTCACCAACAGCAGAGTATGGACGGTGTTCCATATCTCATTAGTAGCAGAGCAGGGGCGAGGCCTAAGGACAAGAATGTAGTAGGGTATGTCCAGTTACGTGTTATATGCTATTTTGTACTATATGTGGTTAGCGGGCGGGGCCCAGAGACAGGCGGGGCCTAAAAGAATCAAATCTGTATCTGAGCGGGGCTCGAAGCCAGGCGGGGCCTGGAGCGGCGGGGCCGTTGTAGCGGGCGGGGCCCACAGTAGCAGGCGAGGCCCGAAATAGCGGGCGTGGCCCAGTATATGCAGTATGTATGCTTTGTGATTGTATGGTATGTGGTAGTTTGGGGAACTCACTAAGCTTCGTGCTTATGGTTTTCAGTTTTGGTTTCAAGTACTTCCGGTAGCAGAGGGAAGATCTCGGGGTGATCGCATGGCACACTCCATTGATTAGTCAACATGGGATGTTTTACTCTGATAATGAAATATGTTTTGGAATTAGTACTCTGAATTTATGTTATGACTTATGATATGTTTTTATGAATATGGCTTTGATAATGTTTTAAAGAAAAATTTTGGTACGGATTTTTGGGATGTTACAACATATCACACAACATTGTAAGCACAAAATTTAGTGAGTTCCCCAAAATACCACATACACAAATAATAAGCCTCTCATAGCTATAACTCAACATGGACCCTCTGGTCACGCGTCTCAGTGAGGACCCTCAGGTCTCATGACTCGGTATGGACCCTTCGGTCACGTGTATCAGTGAAGACCCTCCTGTCTCACAGCTCGGGTTGGACCCTCTAGCTCTGTATCTCAGTGAAGACCCTCCAGCCTCACAACTCGGTTTGGACCCTCCGGTCCTAACTCAGTAAGGCACAAAATATATAGCATAAATCACAAAGACAAAATGCATAATGTCACATAACTCAGTATAAACACATAAGACCCTCTGGTCAATAACTCAAATAAGACCCTCTAGTCACACAACATTACCACTTAGGTAAGTATAGTGAGAAGACTCACATCGTAAGTAAGCAAGTAGGTCTCGTAGTCAACGATCGATTTAGACTTCGCCTACATATCATAATCATCTCTAATTAACACTTTATAACAAAAACTCTAAAGTGTTAGGCTACCCCTTTTCTAACTCTTGGAAAAGAGTGAAAGACCATTTTACCCCTCCACAGTCTCCATAATCCATGTCTTGACCAAACCCTAAACTCAACGAAAGTCAACAATCCATGTTGAGCCAACTCCTCGAGTGCACCTATGCGACCCGTCGAGTTCCTTCGTTTCCTCTAAAGTATTAGGAAAATCCAACTCAACTCGTCGAGTTGTCTCACCAACTCTTCGAGTTGTAACATATCCATACTATCAGGGAAAACCCTAGCCAACTCGCAGAGTTGGCTCGTCAACTCGTCGAGTCTTTTTATTCCATTCTCTCATACAATCGTTTTTAAGCAGAACTAAGGCCTCATACTCTAGATCTAGCCTCCTAAGGTTGAAGTATCATGTAAAGCTGCAAGCTTTACGTCCATGCATGGCATCTTGGGCTCAAAATGCCAAAACAAGCTCTATAAAGGGTTTAATGCATGAAGGCTGGCCAATAGCTTGATAAAGCTTGAATCTTTGGAAATCTAAGGTACTTCTTGGATATTGAAGTAGCAAGGTCTAAATGTGGAATCATAATGAATCAACGGAGATCTTCTTGTCAAAACCGACATGTTGGATTGTCAGCCAATAGATACACCTATTAAGGTTAATCACGATTTGACTATTCTGTCGGGTCAAGTACCAACTAACAAGGAGAGGTATCAAAAGCTGATCGAAAACTAATATATTTATCACAC